TGTGTGTGTGTGTGTATATATATGTGTGTGTGTGTGTGTGTATATATATATATACACTGGGTGAATGTGCAGTAGTAGCAGCAAGGATCCTTGATGTCCTTGACACGCAAGCTTGCACCAAGCTCCATTGGTCTTTATGAAATTGATTCTGTCATTAATTAGTCATGTCACATAAGCATTGTTATTGTTACTGTATAAAAGCTGTATTAACAGCATTATGAAAACAGTGAGATGTTCTATAACAGTCACCCTTTAAACAGGTATGGGTCTCTCTTGTTGTTGACAGAAATGAAGTTCTGGTTTCTTTTGCATTTATAGCAGCTTTTTCATTATGAGGAATAATAGTTACTGACCAGAAAACAAAAAGTCGTAGGTGGGGAGAATGAAAACATAAAAGTTCTTTCTGTTACTGGTTTTAAACGGCTTTCAGCTGAGTGAAAGCAGCTGATTACCGTTAAGAGGTACAAAGAAGGGCAAATTAGTATGATGCTGTAATTGGACTAGAAAAAACAGATGGAAGCAGAAAGTTCTAAGGGTGATCCACTAACAATTCTCCAATTTCTAAACACAAACGTAGTCAGTTTATTTCAGTAATCACCAACACCATTTAACAAAAGCAGCCCAAATTGACCGGTCGCAAATAAAGAACAACTAACAACAGAGGCATAGCTTGTTGCCTCTGTTGTGATGGAAACAATATTGTATAAGTCTAGGTTTTATATATGTGTTTTTCCCATGGTAATTCAGACTAGGGAGAGGCCACAGAGGGAAAATCGATTTGCTCTAAGGCAATGGTGAAATCTTTAGTCAGACACTGAGTGGGGACTTGGTGGATCGGGGCAGACGCTCTGGATGAATCCTGAAACATGTGATGGAGGGCAAAACCATGTAATCTGTGTGTAACAGCTGTGTAGTGGTGTAGAAGAACGCCAAACATTATTTACCATTAGATCCAGAGCGATCCAATAAAGCTACTGCTGTGCCACATGTGCAAAAATACACACCCCTTTTTTCTGAATGCTGCGTGATATTGCAGGTATTTTACTGAACTCAAAGGAAAAAAAAAATCAGATACATACCCAGCTGTGGACAACACTCAGTCTCAATCTGTGAGTCGAATGCCTCTACAAAATCCAGAGTTACAGTAAATGGCATTATTCTAACAAGTTTAACAACAGCCTGAGGTCCAATAACAGCTGTTTTGACAGATACTTTCAGTGTTACGTAACAAACACAATATGTAACAGAAAAGAAGAAAAGAACAGCTCAGAAAAAGGTAAGCTATCGAGGTGAGGACTTGAGTGACGACCTATAGGACAGACCGAAAACTCTGGCAGGCAGCTGTGCCACTGTGGCGTTAAAGGGATTGTTCAAATAAGAGTGTTGGCAGCTATGTCAAGCGCAAATGAGTTAAAAGATGATTTTCTTTCAGTATGAAACAATGGCACACACAGCAGTAAACTGCCTACCGCAAACCTCAGTAAATTACAGCTGTAAGACTGATTTCTCAATTCTCCCTTCCCAAATGTTTCTACTCTGAAAAAGAAACTCCTGAAAATGCATGTGCAATGAGGCCAGCCACAAAAATAAATGTCTTCATGCCTTTACATTGCTAACCTTTTATTATAGCGCTATTATAAATCCCCCAAAATAGCATTTTAATGCAAACAGATTACAAACTCTGTATTAAGAAGTGACATTACTATATGTGAATTGTTATAATTTCCTTTTTTCTTTGTATGTAGATGTCAACCTTAACGGTTAAACACAATTACTGAAAACTCAGTTCCCCCAAAGCACGGTGGCAGAGATAGAAATAATATTGAGACAAAGCAATGCCTTTTGGAAAAAGAGCAAAGATAAAGAAAAAAAGTAGTAAACAAGAAAAGTTTTACAATTCACCTTATAGGTACTTTTTCAATCAGTCTAGTGTTCACACACATTGTTCTGGTTTGGACAGCAGGGTACTGAGGTCTTTAAAAAAAAAAAAAGAAAAGAAACAACAACAGAAAAAGCATGCTGCACTAACTATACAATGCCCAATGCTGAGGCAATAAATCCCTACAGTATTCTTTTATTCTTTATATGTGTTCTGATAGGCCCTTTATTAGATTATTTAACAAACACTATAAATTGGCAGCCAAGGAAGTTGAAATGGCTGTGCTCTTTTGACAGAGGTGAAAGTAGTTATAAAACCATTCTCCAAACCAATATTTCATGCAAATTCTAAAGAAATGTTCAACCTGGAAAGAGCTTTATGGAAGAAAGGTTATACATACAATTTACAAAGGTCACTATAAAAGATTCATTTTTTGAAACCAATCTGTTTTACTGTTTTCCCAATACAATAACCCTGGCTCTTCAGTTTCAACATGTACATCTAGATCTGTACACAATGTCAGTGATAAATGTGAGCCTTAGGAGAAGCTCTTACAATACAAAATACAAAATCATAACATGCACTATTAATATTTTTTTATTCAATGTAGTTGCTAACCTTGTAGATATAATGCATTAATTTAAAACTGCCATAAAACAAAAAGAGTGTTGAGTTTGATATTGTAAGATCACTGGCCTTGTGTTTCTTAAGATGTGCTGTTCACACTAAACATGGTTGTCTTGTACTGTGCCCATGCACAACTGTACTCCCTTCCCCCTTGTCTGCTGGACTGCACTCACACTGTGCTTTATGATCCAGGCCTGAGCACGCATCAATTTGTCTCAGCATCTCAATAAGCTTTCTCCCCATTTCATGCACACACGCTTTTGAAAAGCACTCTTGTGAGCACAATGAGGTTCACAATTTTATGCATTTTGTGTCTTAATTTGGACAGGGTTTTGTTTTGTTTTTTTGAGCGGCGACACACTATTCTCTCACATGCCTTACAGATTTATAAATTACTTAATGCATTGACTTTCTCAGAGGCAATGGGTGTTTGAGTTTCATGCTTGGGCAGAAAACATATGCCCACATCTTGGACAGACAATATGCGCTCCTCACACAGTAGCAGTGATCATATTTGTTAAAGGAACTGGTACAGCCTAGCGTGAATAAAACCTTGAATTTAACTTTACATAATGTAATTGATTCAACATATCTCCTCGGATTTGTATGTGTGTTAGTTTCCTGTTCATTTCTGGGGTTTGCTTCATATTTTTTTGGTAATTGATTTTCCTCTTTGTTTCCTGTAACTTTACATTCTGTCTTTGTCTTCCCAACACCGATTCCACCTGAATTTTGTTTTCTTATTGGATCTCTGTGTATACTTTGGCCTGTCCCTCCTTCATTTTTTGTCTCTATTTTTCTTATGCCCCTTTCTGGATTCCTATTTTGTTTTACCAAGTACATGACATGTTTTATTGCCAGTCAATAAAGCCTCAGCTTTTGTATTAATCCTGGCGCAGTGTTCTGCATTTGAGTTGTCTCCTGTAGAATCACAACAAGGATATTAATTCTGAATTATAAGATTTATTATAAAGTTTTAAATGAGTAAAAGTAATTAGCATGTCTTTGAAGATCATTCTTTGTGATCATAGTTTAATCTCCTTGCTAAGCATAAAGAAAATCATCGCTTTTTGTTACAAGTCTCAGAGCCATTAATAAATTATCTGATGATAAATAACCACACTGACCTTTCAAGTGAAAATTTGATGCATAATATGAAATGTGCAATATGAAATACTACTCACCAAAAAATTTAAAGTGAAATTAAAGCTAGTACTTCAAACTTACTCTGATTAAACGGAGATAAATCAAACTTTGGGCATTTTGAAGGATTTCTTAGTGAATTAGACATAGTTTTTCATTTCTACTCCATGTCAAACTAGTAGTGCATGTAATATAAAGCAGTTTTTGCTTGACAGATAATCATTAAGTGTCCCCGCAAGACAGGGGCACTTTGTGTGTGTGTGTGAACTCAAAGAACAGTGTGCTTGTGTCTCTCCCTTAACATACCTCATCACTTTCACTGCCAATAAAGTCATCCTCGGGCTGGACATCATACCGCCTCCCAATCTTGCTGTGAACCTGATGATCTCCCATCTCCATCTTCTCCTGGTCACCCTGGCCTTGTCCTCGTTTGGGTGAGTGAGGCTGGGATGAGAAAGTGAACACCTCCTTTTGCAGAGTGAGCTGAGGCTCAGACCCTTCATTACTCTCCCAGCTGTTCCAGACCTTCAGGTCAGAAGGCAAACCTTGCTGCACAGAGCACAGTTGAGACTCTGTGACCATGAGTGCTGAACTTTCCTTTGCAGGAGTGTGACACTCATCTAAATGAAAGATGATAAAATAAGATCAAGTAACAAAAGAATACTTGCAAGGAAATGTTATTAAGAGTTGTAAATGTACAAATTCCCAAGTATGTCTTTCACAACGCATGTAAACAATTAGACATGGAGTCAAATTACAATGAGCAATAAATCACTGTTTTATTACTTTTTAATCATACGGTTACTGTCATTCTAATTTGATTTGAATATGTGCACACGAAATTCATAATAACGATATAATAGGGTTGCAAATCATTCAACAACCTGGCAAAATAAGCATTAATGAAGTTATCCTGCACCGACATGTTTGTATTGCTTATTAACAACCCTGCTAGGTTAATTAGGTACAGTGAAACGTTATAGACAAAGAAAGAAGAAAAACATCAGTAGTAAGAAAACCATTTTACTGCTAATTTGTCACTGATGAAATGTCACCTATGCCAACTTTATATACATATATGTATATACATAGCAAAGAGAATAAAAGCTTGTTTTAGCCTTTAATGAATGCTGCATCCACTTCTGTTGGTATGCGAGAAACAATGAATCCTTATACTGCGAGATAAGCCTGAGATCACAGAAAGGGGCACCTAAATTTGAATGAGTGAGCACATTTGAATCTCTCGACAGTATAATCACTTTCTCTAATTGCCCACTGTGTGGCAAACCCTGTGCCCAGGAGATGTCCCTCTGACTTTTATTTAATGCGCCACATTACCATTAATGAACTAACTGCTTTCCGTCTGTGGGCAGGGCTGCAGCAAAGGAGCTTACTGCTGGAGAAACATCCATAATTGAGCTTTCGGAACACATGCACTCACTTCACAAGGACAATGTGGGTATAGGTGTGTCCGTGTGTGTGTGGGGTAGCAGTGCGGGGAGAGTTTGTGGGGGAGGGATCCCACAAGTGGCCTTGACACAGGTTATGCAAAATTAAAAAGGGGGGAAAAGCTTGTGTCCAATGTAGAATGAGATCTTTTAAAATTCATGCAACACTTCAACAATCCAGTTTAAAAAGTAAGAGTGGGAACACATATTGTTTTTCTCAAGCATAAACAAGGTGCTTATTAAAATCATAACATGCAAAGCAGTCATCAAAATCACCCAGCATGTACATTGCTCTAGTTTGTCTCGTGTTCCCATCTCTTGCTGTCGTGCTTAACTTTTACTAATACCACACATCTTCCAGGTGTCTATTTACGGCTGCTTTAAGCCTCATCGGCTACATGTTCTGACTTTTCTGCTAGGGTCAGAGGCTGGTGCTTGCTCTCCTGCCTGCTGGATGAAGGACTGCAGCTTTCCCAGCTTTCACTATTCCCTCTATGGTGCTGAGGTACAGCATCCCAAGGAGATGTTAACCATAACTGAAACACCTAATAATATAAAAGAATAGTACACCTTTAGCCCACCACAACACACATAGAATATACACTCAACTGCCACTTTATTAGGCACACCAGCTCATTAATGAAAATATTAAATCAGGTAATCACTAATAGCCAACAGAAATGGTTAGGATGACATGCAAATGAAATGTTCAAATAAAACATTAAAATGGGGAAAGAAAATGATTTCAGTGTCTCTGAACATGGAATGCCTGTTGGTGCCAGACGAGCTAGAGTATTTTAGAAACTGTTGATCTGCTGGGATTTTCCCACACAACCATCTCTAGAGTTTGCAGAGAATTGTCTGAAAAAGATCAAATATCCACCAAGCAGGCAGCTCTCTGGGTGGGAATGCCTTGTTGATTCCAGAGGTCAGAGGAGAATGGTCAGGCTGCTTTGAGCTGATAGGAAGGCAAAGTACAGTAACTGAAATAAGCTCAAATAAACGAAACCAAGGTATGCAGAAGAACAATTCTGAACGCACAAGATGTCAGACTTTAAAACAGACAGACAACAGCAGCATCAGAAGACCACACCAGGTTCTGCTTCTGCCAGCTATGAACAGGAAATTGCAGCTAAAACTTGTATAGGTTCACCAAAATTGGAAAAAGAAGACTGAAAATTCCCTGCCTGATCTGATAAGTCTTGCTTTCTATTGCTACACTTGGATGGTAGGATCAGAATTTGGCATAAACTACCAAAAAGCATGGCTCCGGTATCCCTTGAATTAAGGCCCCCTATTACCAACTGAGCATTGTTTGAACATCACAGCCTACATAAATATTGCTGATGATCATCCATCCCTTTATAACCACAGTGTGGCCATATGTGACACAAAGCTCATATCTCTAATAGAGCTCCTTTGGAATGTGGTAGAACAGGAGATTTATATCATGGATGTGGAATTTACAAATCTGCAGCATCTGTGTGATGCTACGTGTCATCATGGACTAAAATCTCTGAGGAATGTTTCCAGTAACTGGTTGAACCTACACCACAAAGAATTAAGGCAGTTCTGAAGGCAAAATGGGGTCCAAGTGGCTGGTGAGTTTATACAGTGCATACAACTTACTTGATGATGTTTGCTTTTCTCCTCCAGCACTGATGACTCTCAGCTTCTTAGATCCCTTCTTGTCAACTGCTCTTTTTTTAGGGGGATGTGGCTGTAAACTGCCAGATGCTCCTACATAATGTACTTTCAACATTACAAAAGCTTTATAACACAAAACAGTCAAACAACAATGTTATTAGAGCTTGCCAGAAGCATATCTGTGAATTGATTATGCACCGTGAAAATCCTTATTAATGAAGGCATTTCAGTAACTGAGCTTCTTACATTCATTCAGTGAGGAGAATATTTCCAGCTACATTATGTTCAGCTGAATTAGGGAATTTTAATCATCCCATTTTTTTCATTCTGTCATGCTCAAAGAATGCTGTATTACCAGCCATAAAAGCTGTTATTAGGTGCTTGAAAGAGCATGTTCTGAGAAAGAGGACTCTTATTTTGTTAGTTTGTTGATTCTGATGCATTTACTGATGTCTAGTATCTAGAAGAAATGAAAAGGCAAAGTAACCATCTATGCTCTAAGGCCAAAGATGCACTGGAAATCAAGTATATTAAAACCCCACTATTATATTAAAACCTTTTTACTCTTTGAGGATTTAGTGTCAAAAACCATTCACAGGTACTGAGGTAATGGCAGCTAGTTTTGCACTGAAGATTTGTGGTAAAATCTGTTTCAGTTAGTTTCATTATACCAATGTTTAGTTCAAAGTATGATGAAAATGTTTTTGCAGACCACAATTTAAGTTCATAAAATAGGCATTAGTTGTTTTGTGCCTATATCTAACACTTCACATCAGCAAGTATAAGGTGAATTTGCTTCACAAACCTAAACTCTAATGAACTCTTCATTTCCTTTGTTGGCAGATTAGATAAAGTGGTCCTCAAGACCTGCACAGATTCAACAATAACATATCTGCCCAGTAACTGAAAGGTCACAGTGCAAAACTGCAATGCCCCTGGTTTGATTACAGCCAGCGGGTGTGTTGTATATCACACCCCTCTCTCACCCAATGTTCTGTTTCCTTCTTTGCTGTCAGCTATTCAATTAAGGCGTGATGCCAAAAAAACACATCTAAAAAAATATGACCTAATGAGGGTGTGGGGAGTAGTGCTTGTAGTATCTGTTTAATAACCCATCATCATTCTGCTCAGCATCGGCACAGAAAAAAATGAGCAGAGGAAGTGAAAATAATATATTTTTTTGGCTTCTTTCCAAAGACTATTTTTGTTCTTCAGGTTTCAGCCTCTTTTTTTCTTTTTGGGTTAAAGAACTGTGTTTTTTTAATCCCTGTTAAAACCCCTAAATATCATTTTACAATTAAATATTTATCTAGTCCCATTTCCTGGGTTCTTCCTCAGTTTCTAAACCTTGTTTAATGTGGCATGGGTTCCTGCAGATACACAACACTCCCAGTCCACACAGACATATGTTACAATGGTGTACATGCAGCCCAGAAAAGCATAACTTCAGCTTGAGCTAGTGTACAAAGAAATAGAAAGAAAAAGAAACAAACAAACAGATAATAGATAAATAAAGTCTGTAACAAGCAATGCTAAGTGTTTGAGTGATAAAATAGCAAGATGAACAGGGTTTGTTCAAACATAGATAGCATTCAGACTCAATAAATCACTCTCTGTACTCTGTCAAATTTACCCTCATTGAGAATGTGGGAAGGTTCTCCATGTGATAAATTCTCACTCTGGTTGGTAATGCTCTGACTTTCTGTAGTAACCTTTTGGTTCATTCTACTCGATCCCTGTGGGACGTAACCAAAGGAAACATACAAGTTCAGAGACAAATTTATTCTGTTTTGTAGTAAATACAATTTATGGCAGGCATACAAATCATTCAGAGAGATATGCTGTAGGTTCTTACAGGATTGGCTAGATTACTAATTTGGAAAGGAAAAACAGAGACTACATTTCTTTCAGCTCCATCTTATGTTACCTTGCTTTTTCTTCCAGTTAGGAGAGGTGGTCCAGAGGCTCTGGAGCCTGAGGCTGTGTGTAAAATGCCCTGGGGCCTGGTTCTCCGATAACAGGTTGATCTGGCAGTGGTAGGAACTGCACAAAAGTAAGGCATTCCCATTAGTTATTGATCTGAATTGATTAGTTCTCTTATGCTAATACATAAGGCCATTTCAGTTTGAAGGGCACAGACCAGCATATTAAGATGAGGAAAGAGCTGTGTTCTTTCAAACTAAAAAGATCCCTTAAAGTCCCTTTGTAACTGTGAATAAAAATCTTTAGAACGTTCCCTTTTATGTAGATTATATACTGCAATATGTTTTTTTTATTAAATTTCTTAAACTATATTGCAAACATAATCAATCAAGAAAATACTATGCACTTTACTAATGCTTAGCATTTTAATTAGAGTCTAATGGGCAAAATATTTTATGAGGAATGAAAATTAATGATTGGATACAAATTTGACTCTACTGCTGAGCTGATATAACGGATGTTTTTCTTTAATCTAACAATCTGTTCCATTTCATCATGTGAAAATAATGGGCTACAGTGGGAGATGTGATATGGCGACAACTTGACCCCGCTGTATCTGTGCCAGGACTCATCAGGACCACCTCTGCTGATGTTAACAGCCAAACACACTTTCTTGTAAAGCCTCATCAGAAGAGTGAGCAAATACTTTGCTCTCCACAAAACACGCACACACACACACACACACACACACATACATACACACTACAATAAAAAACAGGCAGAGCTTTGGTGGATTTAAGAAGAGAAAGAGATGATGTTGCCCCTGTGTGATACAGCAAGTTAAATTAATTGAACTTTACTGCTGGAATGTGTACATTCCTCCTGAAACTTGAAAAAGAGTGATATAACCGCAAGAACTACAACAAGATCTATGTCTGCATAAGCTACAAATATTTTTAGAACAGACTTTAATTTCTGAGAAATTTTTGTCTTTGGGATTAAGAGAACGTCTTTGCTGAAGCACAGAGATAATCAGGGCTTGTTTGTTGTTGCATGATACAAAGTGCTGTAGCTTACTTTTAACAGTTTCTGACACTTTGGCTATTGAAGGATCAGCATTCACCCAGCAATTCTGTCAAAGTCAAAATTGGATGCCTACTTTAATAGCAATCGTTTTAATTATGATTAGGAATGTTATGCTAATAATGCAGATGCTAATTATGAAAAGATATTTCTTGTGCGTGGTTACTGCTCTCTTCTATGGGCACTGCTGGTTGACTCAACATGACTTAGACAGCTGTCAGAACAAATAAATATGCACTGATAAAAAAGGCCACAAAGGTGACAGAAGTGGATTACTGGTGCATGTCTTTTTGTATGAGGAGATAATTGCAGCTCCTTGAGTACAGGTGAGGCACAAATGAACACAAAAATGAAGACCACGGGAATTTCATTCCAGGAAAACAAAGTGATTATCATCACAGTGCCTTTGTAGCAAACACTTTCTCTACATGTAACCATTTGTGAACCGTTTTCTATTCATCTGTATAAATAAGTAAGTTCATGGGTGGACTGTGGCTCATATTGTGTACTCTCAATGTTACTCTCAAAACAATCAACGCTATGAACCTGCTGTGATCCATTAAAGAAGACCTACACTAAAGGACATATCTGACAAATTCTGTTCACCCTGTGAACATTACATTAATTTGAAATGTTGTAACACACCACTATTATGCTATAGTAACTATCACATCTCCTCTGGGGTCAAGAGCTTTGCACGGATTTTTAAATCCAGCTGCAGGGATTTCATCCACAACATTGTTGGTGGAGTCAGGCACTGATGCTGAAGATAAGGCCTGTCTTTGAGTCTGCACTCCAATTTATCCCAACAGCGCTCAGTGGCATTGAACTCAGATTTTGTGCAGAAAAATTACTTCACACCTAACTTATAAAGCCTTTTTCTTTACAAACCTGGCTTTGTGCAAAGGGGTACTGTTATCCTTCCAGATAAAACTCCTTCCTCCAAACTGTTGCTGAAAAGACTACCAATCTCAAAAACAAAGGGTCCTACTCCAAATAGTCTAAATCGTCTTTGTTAAACAAAGCAACAGCTACTTCATATATGATTTTAATGACAGTTTACACTTTGCACGCTTTATGGTTACTTTTGATGAAATTACAATTCTCAAAATGTTTTTTGTTTGTGTCTTATCTTACGTACCACAGTCAGAGTTAGAAAGACCAGTCCTCAAATCTGTCTTTCGCACATTTTCCCTGTTGAACACCTGAATGACTTGGTTCACATCTGGTGGGAACTGGCAACTGCGTGGGATTAAGTCCATTAGACCAGCTCCACTGCGAAACATGTCTAGATTGGAAAAAGTAACAATCTCACACTAATATTAGCTATAAAATAAGCTCAAACACATTATTACAATATATAACATCACACCACAAAAGTAACACTTTGATCAGCTGAAAAATACGAACTGACCGAGACACCCTTTTTGGTAGATAGAGTAGGTGTGCAGTAGGCAGCCAGTAATGTGCAGCTGTTATCACTGCTGAGCCATATCAGCCTTGAACAAAATCTACCACTGAGTTCTCAGCCAGCCACAGAAAAACAGCCAACTGTTTGTCTCTCTATCTCTCCAAACACACAAACATAATTTCACACAAACCCACAAGAACAAAGACCACTGGCTTGCTTCTGTGGCAAGTACTTAGGTACTGTATCTTTATTAAACACATTTGGAGTAGCGTATTGGGTAAGTCGATAAAACTTCAAAATTTGAAACCAGCAACCAACTACTTTACCATCATCTGACATTCCTGCATGCTCCGTTCTTACAGTGAAGATTCTCCGGACTTTGCAGGTAGCGAACAACGTGATGCCATCCAGTGTCAAAAATCCCTTGAACAGTTCACCGCTCAGTGATACAAGGTCGATGCATAATGTTGACCACTGAGACAACACATACAATATGAATTTGTAGTTAAAAGCACCACACACAGATAAAGATCAATACCTACTAAGAAACATGGAGAAGGAAAAAAACAAACAAACAAAAAACAAACAAACAAACAAACAGCTGACAGCAAATTTAATACTAAAGGAATGTCAAAGATGAATAAGATACTCACAACATTGCGTTTCAGTCCAACAAAAGGTATCTTTGCATGCAAAAGTGTGGCAGACACCTCTTTATGCACTGTTGATAAGTGGAGTCTTCTTTTTAGGCCCTCTGAATCAGTTATCCTGTGATTAACAGACAGCAAAGTAGAACATGAATTATCACCAGCATCAGTAGTGCCACTAAGAAATCATGACCTGTGAAAACAAAAAGCTTTATTGGTCTCTAGAGTAAGCTCTTAAAGATGTTTTCACTTTTATCTCACGCTGTGAAATCAGCTGTCATGACATACTCAAATTGAAGAAGAACAACGACACACAATGTTTTCACTGATTCTTAAAATAGTGTGCGAGTAAATAAGCAGGTAAGTGTAAGAAAATCATTTGAGGCAATATCTCTCCCTGATGCTCTTGATATCCAAACAGCAGTTTCTACTGCATACTGTAAGCTGCAGTTTACCAAAGATATTTTGGGGTAAATATAGAATTTACCAAATTAGACTGAAATAGAATAAAGATTGAAATAATGAAACAATGTAGAGTGGCATTCTTCTTTCAGTGACTAAATGCTGCAGTGACGATATATGAACACACAATTGCATTATGCAATCAGAGCCACTAAATGCAAACTGTGGAGAAAAACAGCGAGCACTTGACATTCACATTCTACATTGTAATAATGTGGCTGTTCAGAATTTATAGTGGCACACAAGATAAAAGCCTTCTTTGTGACAAATTGTTGAACAATATCTTAATAATAAATGGTTATTTAGGCTGTTACATAACAGTCAATGAGGCACTTTGTTTTCTAAGTGGCTCGATGGGTTTTTTCCTACCAGATGTAAACAAGCTGTTTTCACTGTGAGCCCATTGTTATTCAATCACTATTTCTTTGTCACACTGTACATTACTGGAAAAGCATTTTTCACTGTACATTACAATAAGCAAGTACTCTAAGTGAGTACATAAAATGTTATTTTGTTCTGCTCGCATAGTCAAAGGAGCTTGCAAAGAAAAGCGTCTGGACTTCTTTAAGTTACTTGAAGACGTTTCACCTCTCATCCGAGGTGTTTGACTACGATGACCTGGATGACTAAGAACCTTCACAGACTTCTGCTCGCATACATTTTTCAGCCAGAATGTTAAAGATTTATACCGAAATGTTGAAGTCAGTCAATTGAATTAACATTCATAACATTTGTACCATAAGAACAATCTCTGCGCTACTTACACAAGCTCAGCAGAAAAGTCATGACCGTGAGAAACATTGACTTGAAGCACCAAAAATCGTTGGAGAAGTCCAACTAAGAAAAAAACAAACAAACGAAAAGAACGAGTTACTATTAATATTTAGAATTAAACAAAACAACAAGTTGCACACTTGTATGAAAGTAGTAGAGACTTACGAGACATTTTGCCATTCTCTGGCATTTGCATCTTGACTGTCTGGCTGCTTCCATCCAGACAGTAAACACATCCTTTGACTTCTTTATTATACTCCTAAGGGAGAAAATAATGCATAAGAGGAATTGCTCAGTCTCCGTGTGTTATGACCAGAAGACTACCTGTTGTGTAACTGCTCTCTGAGATCCAAAATTTCTTTTGTGTATTTAGTTTTGTTTGTTTGCTTTTTATCTGAATAAGTCTGTAGCATATATGTTTAGAGAAATGCAATTGTTTCAGTCCTCATATGCAGGTGCCAGTTTGTCTTTGAGAGGATATAAAGCCTAGGTTAGTGTGATTACGTTACTGGTAATAAGCTAATAGTAAGTTAAACAAACAGCTCTAAAAAAATAAATAACTAACTTTATATATGGCTGACGGCCCTCCGCAGAGTTTCCATTTAGCCGCAGGGTCTTTTCCTTGTCCACTGAAGATCTCAACCACAGCTCCACCCTGCAAGAAACAACTAGTTCTCGCTAGCCTGCAGTCGATGTTACATCAGCCTGAAGCTCATATCAGCTCCGAGGAAATTGTATTTTTATACACAGGGCAAGAATTTTAGTAAATAAAGGGCTAAATTGATTCGGTTAAAATAAGCTTACCTGATAATTATTCCTGAACATTTTACATGACACAACGTCAGCGGTGTGAAAATACTTTTTGACGTGGGCGTACACCCCTGCTCAAATGATATAGGCAGTTGAGGAACACCAGTTTAGTTAACTCTGGACACGTCTCCATAGCAACCGGCAAAGTCCCGCTTGTAGAGCTCAAATCTCGCGAGTGTTTCTGTTTATGTTGTTTGTGTGTTTCCGTTTACCTTAACCTGAACAAAATCCCTATTAGAATACAGATTAACCCCACACTCCAAATTTGACATGTCTTATAAAGCGATACCTGACCAAAGGTTAACTAACCAGTCATTTTTCCTAAGCCTTCCGACAGAGGTAGTTAGTACTTTTTTTAATATACCTTTTGTCTGTAAAAACAAACAAGAGCCGATGGTAACTGGAATAATTAAATCGGCACAGTTGACTCAAACAATTCTCACCTGCTATTTTTATTGTAAATAGCTGTCGTTTACCTGCCACTCATGAAATTCAATAGGCGAATAACCTACTTTCACTTCTTTTTTTAGAAAAAATCCTGTCTGACACTCAGTTAACGCAATTTTGAAATTAATGTGATGGCAAGATTAGCGGCCTACTTCTGACAGGGTGCTATAAATTAATCAGACATAATAGTTACTCACCGTATAAATTAGCCCCATTATTGACAAAAATGTAGCACAATGAAATTTGAAAGATTTAAACAAGAAAGCTCAGATCACAAAATGTCCTTTGACTCTGCTTTTTTCACAACCAAAGTTTGTTATAGGCCATTTTTATTGGATTTCACTGCGAGGTTTTTTTTTTTGTTTTGATGTTTGTTTATTTGAGAGAAATAATATATTTTATGTCTCATCATATTTCATGTTGCCAGACAATGTAGATGGAGAGTTTAGCAGTGAAAAGAAACCTCAGAAAAATACTCTTTTTTTTTTCATCAAGAAATATTTGTGGAGTTGCAAAATCTAAGATGTGTTAATTATCCCAAGAATATCGTTCCTAAAGGTGCTGCTTAACAAACAGTTAAAAATAGACCAGTGTTTAAGTTCTAGCCTCTCTTGAAATGCTAAAATCCATTATTGTGTCATTGTCACTTGCTTTGTTTACCCTGGCAGCAAAGCTATTATGAGATCAAAAAGATGTCTTTTAATTAGCTACTCAGGGAGGAAACATCCGGAAGTACAACTGTATGTCTTACAGCTTATTAACATTTTTTGCTTGTATCCGACTTCAAATACGACGTGGTCTCAGTTATTTATGGATATAGAACAAAGGAAAACAAAGAAATCTATCCACTCACACCTATGATGACTACAGTGAGTTTGCCAAACAAGTACTGCAGTCATTTTCATTGTGAGGGATTTCAGTGTTCAGTGCAATAACACCAACATCTTAAAACTCAGCATTGCAACAAAAATATAATGTTGTGAACTGTGAAAATTCTCATACCAGCAGATGAATAACCAAACACACGTCTCCAGTTTGTCAAATGTCAAGTATACACTCACTGGCCACTTTGTTAGGTACCCCTCTTCAGCTTCTCATTGATGCAAATATCTAATAAACCAATTAAATCCAGCAACTCATTGCATTTAAGCATGTAGATGTGGTCAAGATGACCTACTGAAGTTCAAGTAGAACATCGGAATGGGGAAGAAAGTTTATTTAAGTCACTTTCAGTGCAGTGTGGTTTTTGGTGACCGGCAAGCTGGTCAAAATATTTCAGAAACTGATGCTCTACTGAGATTTCCCCACAAAACCATCTATAGGGTTTACAGAGAAAGGTCTGGAAAAAGAGAAGATATCCAGTGAGTGGCAGTGGAGGTGGCTCTGGGTAAAAATGCCTTGCTGATGTCAGAGGAGAATGGCCAAATGACACTGAGCTTATTTGAAGAAAAAGGGTAACTCAAATAACCACGCTACAAGAATTAGCATGGCAAACCTTAAAGCAGATAGGCTACAATTCACACAAGCTCAATGGCTCAGGATGGTGGGATGCTTTGAGTCCCTTAGTACCAGCTAAACATAGGTTAAAGACCTACCTGAGTGTTGTTGCTGGCCACGTCCATCCCTTAATGAGCACAAGGCTTATTCTGAGGGCTGCTTTAGCATGATAAAGGGCCTTGTCACAAAGTTGAGATCATCTCACGCTGATTTCTTGAACATGCCAATGAGTTCACTGATGGCTCCACAGTAACCAGCTCTGAATCCAACAGAGTACCTATGGAATGTGGTGGAATGGGAGATTCACATCTGTAGCAACTGTGTGATGACATCATGTCAGTATAGACCAAAATTTATGAGGAATGCTTCCAGCAACTTGTGGAATCGGTGCCATCGAGAATTAAGGCAGCTCTGAAGGTATACCTAGCAAGGTGTACCTAATAAATTGTTTGGTGAGTGCCATAGACATTGGATCATGTTTTGTTTTGTTTTGTTTTTTCCCCTTTGATTTCCCAGTTTAAAATTTACATTGTAGCCGATGCAGGACTTTCTTGCCTAGTTTCAACTTATTTTCTTTAAGATAAAATAAACTTCAACCTCCAAGCAAGGTAAACAGCTTTAGCTTCCATTGTGCCTCTCTGTTGCATAAAAAAAATTAGGATTTCTTATGGAAATATGGAGAAAGTCGACTTCCTCCTTATTTATTAAAATGACAATAATTTTATTCATCAACTCCAGAATTGTGAAGTTGTGCTTTCAATCCGTCATTTCTGTTACAACCAGTAAATGCAGGTGTAACCACATTTACCAGCACTGAAATCTCCAACATTACTACGTTAATAACCACAGACGTCAGGCCTATTGTTGGTACTCCTTGCTTCACAGATGCCTTTCTTATTATTAACTCTACTTACATAATTAGATACCTTTACAAATCTATCCACAGCAGAACAGAAAGTCTTGTTTTAATGGTTGATAACCTTTTATGAGTGTGGTATTGGAAGACATGTAATACTTAAGCTCTTATGCTGTTCAGTATATAACATATACAATCTATCAAATGTAACAGCTCATTATATTCTTTACCTAACCTTAATAGAGAGTACGAAGGTGAAGAAACTCCATCAACCACTGGCTTGTAGTCTCTATATAGTCTGTCCTTTCTTCGTAACTATTTTATTATGGATGCAGAATTGTGTGTAAGATGTGTGCAAGATCAGAAACAGCGTCAACAGAGCATGGTACTTTGAAAGGTTCATAATTGACTTTTTTCTCTGCAGAAATGGCTTGACGCTGATTGGGACAGACAGCATCATTAAAATAAAGCCTGGCATGCAGTGAACACTGATGAAGCCGGTATGGAGAAATCACTTAATAAATCAGCTCTTGTTAGCATACTTAATTATGACTAATTATTCAGTCATTATTTTGAAAAGAATCTATTCATTTACAACAGTCAAAACACATCAATTACTGTACTCAATGTTAGTTCTGAAATGTTGTAGGGTGACTGCAACACAGAGGATTTCAATGGAATGACCACAGTCATGCCACTGATACTCTCAAAATACAGGCTTTATCGTGAAACTATTGTGCAGTTCAGGGCTTCTGAGTTAAACTAATCATTTCCATGACTACGCATTGCATTTACACATGATTTGGATGCAGGGATTGAACCTTACAGATGAGCATTTCAGAGTATAGTAGCAGACCTCTACCTTAAAGCCATTTGTATTGATCCAGTCTGGGTTTTTTCTTCTAAATGCTTTGCTTCTTTCAGCATAAAAAAAAAAAAAAAGAAAGACAAAAGATCGTTTAACCACCAAAAGGAATGGATCCCATTATGCAAGTGGGTTTCTGTTTTTTCTTAACCCCAGCCTAGGCTAATATATTATAATTTGTGTTCAGTTTGCCAGCAATAGCTTATGAATTCAGATGAATTAACCTAAATCATTGTCAGATGATAGGTGGTAGGTGGTAGTTTAATGAGTTCCCTCTTTTGTTCCTCACAAAGACTGTGTACTTGCATGCAACCAACGCCTGCTAAAACATGATTAGTGAATAGTATACCAGCATACAGAATGAGAAAACTCACATCTGAAAAGTAATTTTCCTGCAGATTCTACTTATTCATTTGCAGATATGCAATAACCTCCAAAGTATGTAGTCATTATAAATGTGCAGCCTTGGAATATGAACACATGCTTCCCTTGAGTGTCATCACAAGTTCAAAAAGACAAACTAATCACAGTGAGGAGTCAGATATCACGGTCACTAACATCCTTCATAGCCCTCTTCCTTTTGCTAGCTGTGACACGTGGGACAAATTCTGGACTACTACGGCTTTTGTGTTTCAAAAAGCTTTATGCTAGTCTTTTGATAGCAACTGAGCAGGAAATCACAAAGCTTACATTACAACACAGCAGTCCATTATATCTGCTCATGTTTCTCATGAGCAGATATAATGTTTCAAATATAGCACAACCTACATCTCAACCCCTTACCCTTGAAAAGGGCTTTTGTCTTAGCTCAATTCAAATATCTCCTCACACTTAAGTCCTTACTATGTGAAGTGATTTTTTTTCACAGCATTGTACTGCACAGCATTCAGTTAAATTTTGTATACATACTGTGCCAGATTTTATAGTGTGAATTTCAACAGCAAGCTGTGAGCTTGTGCAAAAGGTCCCAGCTTCTGGTTTAATAAACAGTATCACCTTGAAAGGCCAGCTTTTCTTTTATATCTGAAGACATATTTAGGTCACTGTGTTCTTTTGTTTTTATTCTTTATAGAATTGCTTTCAGCTAGTCTACTAGGATTACCAAGAGGTAATTTTCTGAGGTCAGAACACGTACATTACAGAGAAACATTTAGTGGAAGCATTGCAGCTTTTTTATTTTGAAAATAGCAGTGGAACCATTAAAAGACAAAATACCAAAATCTGTGTTTCCATTAAAATTACTCTTAGGAGAATGTGACATAACGTACTTAGCTGCCCATTATGTACAAACATGCCACGGCTCAAGGGACACGACCATAAAATGTGTTCACATAGGCACAAACACGTACACACGATTAAAATATGTTTTAAAGCATTTTTTTCTTTTAGAAAGAACAAGCACTTTAAAATGTATTAAAGGTAAAATATGTGAGATTTCTCATCAGAAATAGTGAACACAGAGGGGCC